ACTACTACTACTACTACTACTACTACTACTACTACTACTACTACTACTACTACTACTACTACTACTACTACTACTACTACTACTACTACTACTACTACTACTACTACTACTACTACTACTACTACTACTACTACTACTACTACTACTACTACTACTACTACTACTACTACTACTACTACTACTACTACTACTACTACTACTACTACTACTACTACTACTACTACTACTACTACTACTACTACTACTACTACTACTACTACTACTACTACTACTACTACTACTACTACTACTACTACTACTACTACTACTACTACTACTACTACTACTACTACTACTACTACTACTACTACTACTACTACTACTACTACTACTACTACTACTACTACTACTACTACTACTACTACTACTACTACTACTACTACTACTACTACTACTACTACTACTACTACTACTACTACTACTACTACTACTACTACTACTACTACTACTACTACTACTACTACTACTACTACTACTACTACTACTACTACTACTACTACTACTACTACTACTACTACTACTACTACTACTACTACTACTACTACTACTACTACTACTACTACTACTACTACTACTACTACTACTACTACTACTACTACTACTACTACTACTACTACTACTACTACTACTACTACTACTACTACTACTACTACTACTACTACTACTACTACTACTACTACTACTACTACTACTACTACTACTACTACTACTACTACTACTACTACTACTACTACTACTACTACTACTACTACTACTACTACTACTACTACTACTACTACTACTACTACTACTACTACTACTACTACTACTACTACTACTACTACTACTACTACTACTACTACTACTACTACTACTACTACTACTACTACTACTACTACTACTACTACTACTACTACTACTACTACTACTACTACTACTACTACTACTACTACTACTACTACTACTACTACTACTACTACTACTACTACTACTACTACTACTACTACTACTACTACTACTACTACTACTACTACTACTACTACTACTACTACTACTACTACTACTACTACTACTACTACTACTACTACTACTACTACTACTACTACTACTACTACTACTACTACTACTACTACTACTACTACTACTACTACTACTACTACTACTACTACTACTACTACTACTACTACTACTACTACTACTACTACTACTACTACTACTACTACTACTACTACTACTACTACTACTACTACTACTACTACTACTACTACTACTACTACTACTACTACTACTACTACTACTACTACTACTACTACTACTACTACTACTACTACTACTACTACTACTACTACTACTACTACTACTACTACTACTACTACTACTACTACTACTACTACTACTACTACTACTACTACTACTACTACTACTACTACTACTACTACTACTACTACTACTACTACTACTACTACTACTACTACTACTACTACTACTACTACTACTACTACTACTACTACTACTACTACTACTACTACTACTACTACTACTACTACTACTACTACTACTACTACTACTACTACTACTACTACTACTACTACTACTACTACTACTACTACTACTACTACTACTACTACTACTACTACTACTACTACTACTACTACTACTACTACTACTACTACTACTACTACTACTACTACTACTACTACTACTACTACTACTACTACTACTACTACTACTACTACTACTACTACTACTACTACTACTACTACTACTACTACTACTACTACTACTACTACTACTACTACTACTACTACTACTACTACTACTACTACTACTACTACTACTACTACTACTACTACTACTACTACTACTACTACTACTACTACTACTACTACTACTACTACTACTACTACTACTACTACTACTACTACTACTACTACTACTACTACTACTACTACTACTACTACTACTACTACTACTACTACTACTACTACTACTACTACTACTACTACTACTACTACTACTACTACTACTACTACTACTACTACTACTACTACTACTACTACTACTACTACTACTACTACTACTACTACTACTACTACTACTACTACTACTACTACTACTACTACTACTACTACTACTACTACTACTACTACTACTACTACTACTACTACTACTACTACTACTACTACTACTACTACTACTACTACTACTACTACTACTACTACTACTACTACTACTACTACTACTACTACTACTACTACTACTACTACTACTACTACTACTACTACTGAACTTCGCCTTTATTTGAAAACAAACCGGGTGTCAGAAAGAAGAAACTGAAAAGCGCAAGCAAGAAAGGCAATGGTGACAAAACCATTCAAGAAATTAGCAAAAATCAAATCAAATAAATAGGGAAATCCAATCAGAAAATAAAAGAAAAGAATCAAGGCAACTAGGGAATACAAAAACAAAGAGCAAACCCGCAAACACAATCCAAGCATCGCTACTACTAGTACGACGACGTTTCCATTCACTCAAACGCTTAAACGCTTTTAAAACGAAAACAAATACAACAGAACACTCTGAGACAGAATGAAACCAATGACAATATTAATGGCAAGTCCATTGATGCCCGTCAGCGCGGCATATGAGCCAACATACGGCACTCCGTCACAAAGCAATGTCGGCCAATGCTGGATCCACTGCGTAGGTATGATGCACCCGACCCCCGGAAGCAAGTAATCTGCCACCGCATCAGAGATAGACTGATTCTCGAGTGCAAGTGGCTGATGATGAGACGATAGTGTATGTCCGAGTTCTTATGGTGTAGTTGTGTTGCGAGGGTCTTCAAGAAGATGCCACATTCGGGAGCACACTGTTCACTGGTGGCAAAAACAAGCGGAGTGAACGATCCTCGATCCACCTGATTGATTCGATCGGAATACTGACGTTTCTTCTGACGCTCGTGTTGGGATAACTGCCTCGACACTTCTGGTCCAGACAGCAAAGACGGCCTTGGGTGCGTGACCCGTACATCAAAAAATGCGTTTTGCTGCCTGGTTCAGAAGCCACGAGCCCGTATAGCTCTCAGTTTCCAAATTTTCGGCTCTCCCATCCCTCCCCAGGAGTAAATTGTACTTCAGATCACTGGGCAGCCCGTACCACACTAAAACACCTTCCGACGCCCCTGAACTGATGACCCTACATCTTTACAACACCCTCCAAGTTGTCTCTGGGCTACAACAATCATTTTAAAAAGTGCGAACACAACAAGATCATCGGAATAGCGCAGCAACTGCTTGCAGAGTTTTGTGATGCTGTATGGATATCATAGATGGCTATGGTGGCGTCTGCTTATTGAAGACCTATCGACATTTTTGCACTGTATCATGATTCACTAATTGAGGAATGGAAAGGGGTAAAAGTCTGCAGAAAAAATGACTGTCACCAACCATGACTAGAACCAGGGACCTTCGCTTGAGGCCCGCAATGCTCTAGCCACTGAACTATGGCGTAACTGTTGCTTATTTGAAATTCTGGTTTTTCCTGCCAATGTTGTGATTACAGGGTATTACGGCAATGTGACCTGGCAGATGTTTCTGGTCTGTTTCGCCATATGACAAAACTCACTTCACTGTGAGTGGAAGATTGCATGTGTGTTTGGTGCGCTGCTGCTGTGTGCTAGACATTGCGCAGGCATGTGTGAGTATTTTGTGTGTGTGTGCACGTCTGCACGTCTGTGTGCGCATGTGTGTGTGTGTTTGTGTGTGTGTGTGTGTGTGTGTGTGTGTGTGTGTGTGTATGCGTGCATGCATGCGTGCATGTGTGTGTTTGTGTGTGTGTGTGGGGGGGGGGGGGGTGGGGGGTGGGGGGGGTGGGGGGGGGGGGGGGGGTGGGGGGTGTGGTGGGGGGGGGGGGGTGGAGGTTGGGGGGGGGGGGGGAGTGTGTTGGCATGATTGTGTGTGTGTCTGTACATATACCGTATTTCCTCGATTAATGGACCATGCTCAAATAGTAGACCCTCCTAGAGGCCTCACGGAAAATAGTAGACCATGCCCGAATAAGAGACCCGGTCTCTTATTTGAGTTCATCGCTTTGCGCATGCGCACTAAGAAAGCACGTGGTGGATCAAAAAAGGGCGCGATTTTAGGTTGCGCAACTACAATTTTTGTAGTGGCTAGTGCTTTTTTTCATTATTTGAGCACGGTCCACTATATTTTCACCGGCACATCGCTGGAAATGGTGGATTTTTAACATGTCATAATTATAGATATTCTATATTATCACGTGTTAAAAATCCACCATTTCCAGCGATATGCGGATGAAAATATAGTGGACCGTGCTCAAATAATGGACAATGCCCAAATAAGAGACCGGGGGTCCAACCCTCTTCAAAAAACAAAAGACCGGGTCTATTAATCGAGGAAATACGATTTGTGTGTGTGTATGTATATGTGTGTGTGTGTGTGCGTGCATGTGTGTGCGTGCGTGCGTGCGTGTGTTTCTATTTGAAGTATACATAAGAATACATACTGTGCTGCGCTGACGAGTCCCCAAAGGACGAAACAGTTCTGTCCGCAGATTGAGTATTTCGCCCCTGCTCTTGTAGCAGTTGAGCACTCTTGCGTGGGGGTAGTCCCTTTGCTGTTTGCGTTATGCAGAGCTCAATGACTTGTCAGTTTGAGCACTCTGGCAAGGTACGTTCGGGCCTGATTGGAAATTTTTATTTCCATTGCTATCAGGTTCGGCCTCATTTCCTCTGTGCTGCGCTGACGAGTCCACAAAGTACGAAACAGTCCTGTCCGCAGATTGAGTGAAGTATATATACATGTAGCTTTTAGCCACGGACTGCTTCTGGCTAGATTAACTCTTGTGTAATCAATGGTGCTAGGGAAGTTTATAACAGGTCAGCTCTGATTTAGCCACCCACAATAGTAGCAAGTGTTACCTTCACCGGGGACAGGGGTAACTGCAGTTGGATCCCTGGACGGATACCCTGATGTAGTCTGTCCTTTTACTGCACCTTGTCCTCACCCACTTACTGATATGTGGTGAGCCTATAAGTGGGATCATTTCCACGTCCACCCAGAGTTTTGGGGATTTCAGGGGGGTCGACCGTTGGGGGGTTCAATAGCTAATTGAGACAAGATTCCTTTTAGAGTTCCTCTCTCTCCCCTCTCCCGGGGAGACCAACGTGACCAGTTTTGGCAGTGAGCAAGTACAAGTGCGTGTGTGTGTGCATGTGCATGTGTGTTTGTCGGTGTGGGTGCGTGTGCGGGTGCATGTGCGTTTGTGTGTGGATGTGTGTGTGTGTGTATGTGTTTGCAATCGTCACTTGATCATTGTGACACGACAGCGAGGAGACTGTATTGGCTGTGCTCAGAGTGAACGATTTGTTTCATGCATCTTTTGCCTCTGTCTATTCAGAGATTTGTCTTACAACCGGCTGAGGACACTGCCACCTGATCTGCTTCCTGAACCCAGCTCTCTGAAAGTACTGTGAGTTTCTATGAAGTGTAAAAATGTGCGTGACTCTCCTCCATTCAGCCCCCAATCAGACGGGCCCTGGAATCTGCCCAATTCAATTAGAATCGTATGCAGGGCTAACCATTTCCGTGGCCCTAAAAATGGCAGTGAATCTCATACTTGTACATGTTGGGGGCTCTTTCCCCATTTCTGTTTGTATTTCTTCCCAGCGTCAGCCTCGATATAATCATCTAGTGCACGCACGCAAACATGCACACACGCACGCAAGCATGCACACATGCACACACACACACATATGCACACACATACACACACACACACACACACACACACACACACACACACACACACACACACACACACACACACACTACTGCTGCTGCTGCTGCTGCGGCCGCCGCCGCCGCCGCCACCACCACCACCACTACTACTACTACTATTGCTACTATTGACAGCTGCCAGAAATGGCCACGCCGCTCCCCGAAGGGAGGTACTGTCAGATGTAGTGGTTCTACAAACACACCAAAGACATCTTGTAACTAGCTTCGTTTACAATAAATCACAAGTGTCTGGGAATACAGAGAACGACAGAGAGATCAAGGGAAAAGCCAGGCAGGCAGGTAAAGCTAAAGTGCTTACGGTACAACTGGCATGTCGTACAGCGCGGCCGGATGAATGCATACATGCTACATAAAAGGATACAATGACAAACAGTGGGATGTGCATCCACTACATCAGAGAGGTTAGGGAGAGGTAGGCAGTGCTTCAAATGGCGCTGCAGGTCCTGTCGCCTCCGAAACTGCCGTTGATTACAAACTCGGCAATAATGTTCAAAGTGCTGGCGATCAGTTACTGTAGGGCACTTCGGGCGGGGTCCACAGCGACGGCGCTTGAGGCCAGCAGTAGACATGAAAGTACGCTGGCAGGCTGTACATACCGGGACCTCGGCAACAGTTGGAGAATCACTAGGCGGTCGGTCGTCACAGTTGTAATCTCCGCTGAACCACTTTGTTTCCTGCAGTCCAGCCATCTCTATATCAACTCTGGACAGCTCACGGATCATCAAGTCAATCTTCTTGTCCTTCACGACAGATTCAAAATGAATTTTCAAAACGTCTTCTTCTTACCATCTCGACAGGTCCGTCATTGTTCACCAAGGTTCGAACATTCCAAGACCCAAAGGCCAATGTCCGCAGCCTGTTTCTCCTCTTCCTCTCTGACAGTACTCTCTGAGCTTTAATGTTTGAAATTATTTGCCCCAAATATGTACCCCATGAATCAACAAAATGCATTGATTTAGGCTCTCAGTTTCCAAATTTTTGGGCTCTGCCATCCCACTCCATGAGTAAATTGTACTTCAGATCACTGGGCAGCCCGTACCACACTAAAACACCTTCCGACGCCCCTGAACTGATGACGCTACATCTTTACAACACCCTCCAAGTTGTCTCTGGGCTACAACAATCAGTTTAAAAAGTGCGAACACAACAAGATCATCGGAATAGCGCAGCAACTGCTTGCAAAGTGGTGTGATGCTGTATGGATATCATGGATGGCTATGGTGTAGTCTGCTTATTGACGACCCCGGGATCGATTTATCCGGGTTCGCATCGCAGTTTGCGAATCAAAATTCACTGGCTGCGATTCGCTTTTTGTTTTTTTATCGCCCAAAACTGCGATGCACTGGTCATGCACACCGGTATTTACAAAGACCATTCTGTACTGTTTGTGTGCAGTTTGCATGCGACTGCTGTACACCACTGCTGACCAGGGAGCAGTATCATACTACTCCAACCAACTGGCCCCTCCTGCTCAGTCCGCGCGTGGGTCCCGGATCGCGCTCTGTTTGATTTTGGACACTGCGCTAGCCACTACTGCACTGGTCGGACAAGACTGCGGTCTTTTGAAGTTTTGTACACTGCGGCGACTTTCCCTGAAGTTCTCCTTTCTTCTTTCACTGTCAAGCGCAATTCAGTTTGTTTCTGTTCGACAAGACACAGTTGAAGTAGATGGTTCTTAGTTTCATGTAGCCAACATGTCAGTGAATCTGATCACTGTCCAGAAGCGGGAAAAAGAACTGGACGCGCCAGTAGTGTCGATTCGTTTCGATGAAGAAAAGGAGAAAAGCGAAAATTCTGTGCGCTTTGAACGAAGTGTCACGGTCGTTTGAGCGCTTTCCTGAGCTTTCTTTGTCGAAGGAATCAGTGGAACTGCCCTGTTGCAGGACATTGTGTTGTGAAGAACTCGAAGTCGGATGGACGCTGAACATGTAACAAGCCCAAGCGAAAACCCTGACGTAAAATATTCAGGTCAACCGTTCGTTTGGAAAAGCAAATAGCAACTGCAGCTTTTGTCCTCTTCTGTACAAAATCCTGATTTTGTAGAAATATACATGTAAACCTTTGATGAAGAAAAACTGCTAATCAATACTGGGAGTTGCTAGTCAATTGTAAAACTGTGTAGCAGTGACTGCTATGCAAAAAATCAAAGTAAATCGATACTTGCGACCTATCGACATTTTTGCACTGTATCAAGATTCACTTGTTGAGGGAATGGAAAAGGGAAAAGTCTGAAGAAAAACATTGACTGTCACCAACCATGACTAGAACCAGGGACCTTCGCTTGAGGCCCGCAATGCTCTAGCCACTGAACTATGGTGTAACTGTTGCTTATTTGAAATTCTGGTTTTTCCTACCAATGTTGTGATTACAGGGTATTACAGCATTGTGACCTGGCAAATGTTTCTGGTCTGTTTCGCAATATGACAAAACTCACCTCACTGTGAGTGGAAGATTGCATGTGTGTTTAGTGCGCTGCTGCTGTATGCTAGACGTTGCGCAGGCATGTGTGAGTGTTCTGTGGGTGAAAGTCTGCACGTTTCTGTGCGCCTATGTGTGTTTGTGTGTGTGTGTGTGTGTGTGTGTGTGTGTGTGTGTGTGTGTGTGTGTGTGTGTGTGTGTGTGTGCGTGTGTGCGTGTGTGTGTGTGTATGTGTGTGTGTGTATGGTGTGTATGTGTGTGTGTGTATGCGGGCATGCGTGCGTGCATGTGTGTGTGTGTGTGTGTTTGTGTGTTTGTGTGTGTGTGTGTATGGGGGGGGGGGGGGAGTGTGTGTGCATAGCCAGCAATTGCATGTCACCACGTACATTGAAAATCAACATAATTTTGCGAATCGACCTTTTTTTTCAGGATCACTTTTCAACGAGGACGAAGCAAAGTCGGCCGAACGAAGCCTAGAAGAAGAAAATCACCCTCTCCACTTCACCATCACGATACTGACATAGATACGAGATGAAACAACTAAAAAATCCACAAGAAAACTGTACGGCCAGACTTTGGTCTGAAAATTTCTATCACGATCAAAAATGTACGAGGAGCACTCAAAAATAAGCCACAGACGTACCTTTATCGCTCTCTACTCCTTTTTCAAGGCACAAAAGTCGACTCTCCACTTTCAAACCAGGAACCAGACATACCAGTGGTCCTTTTCAGCTGCTCCACGAGCGCAGGAAAGGTTCACCAAGGGGCGCAGAGCAGCATCCATTCCAGAAAAAGAGCTAAAATACGAGTGAGACTAAATGCCTGAGTACATGTATGAGTACATGCAGAGAATATTCAATTTCAGCGTTTCTGCTCCAAACAGCAACTGGCTTCGACTAGAAACAAAGATTACACCAAAGGATCAAACAACAACCATTTTCTACAGTTTTTTTGGAGATGGCTTCCTTGTGCTTGGCCCAGCACGCAAAAATCACACCTCGGAGAAGTACAAAAATTACAACTCTCAGATGTCCTCGATTGTTGGCCATGGGGCATGATTTTGTGTGTGTACATATATGTGTGTGCAACGCTCATCGCCCTTGGAGCATTTCGAGCACTCTTGGCGGGGTTTGCAGCTCTTTATAAAAATGCTTTGCTTCACAGAAACGTATTTCTTTTGCGAAGAGCTGCGCTTCGGTCCTCTTAGCTGTGCTGAGGAGCTCTAACAGAGCGAAACATTTTCTGTCCACAGATTTGAGTATTATTCTCCCTAGCGTCAGCAATGTCGTTAGGTTGAGCACTCTTACCTTAGCGCGAACCCTTGCCGCTCGCCTTGTGCAACGCTCACTGCTCTTGGAGCATTTCAAGCACTCTTGGTGGGGTTTGCAGCTCTTTATAAAAAATTCTTTGCTTCACGGAAACGTATTTCATTGCGAAGAGCGGCGCTTCGGTCCTCTGAGCTGTGCTGAGGAGCTCTAACAGAGCGAAACAGTTGCTGTCCACAGATTTGAGTATATGTGTGTGTATGTATATGTGTGTGTGTGTGTGTGTGTGTGTGTGTGTGTGCGTGTGTGTGTGTGTGTGTGTGTGTGTGTGCGTGTGTGTGTGTGTGTGTGTATGTGTGTGTGTGTGTGTGTGTGTGCGTGCGGTGCGTGCGTGCGTGCGTGCGTGCGTGCGTGCGTGCGTGCGTGCGTGCGTGCGTGCGTGTGTTGTAACTCGCTTTCTCTACCTGCTCCCAGTTCCGTGCCATCTCCACACTTATACAAAGGGACGACGATAACTACATTTAGAAGACTGTTTATTGACACGACGACGAAACACAACTAGACATGACGAACTCAAGACGAAGACATCATGAACTCAAGACGAAGACATCATGAACTCGAGACGAAGACACACTTTTCATACCACAGCAACATGCGCATGCACCAACATGACGTACACACGACGTACACAAAATAACGTACTACAACATAACTCCCTCCCAAGAGTAGAATCGTCCTCGATTCTAATAATAAAACAGAGTAGCGCCTCTTTACCCTCGAGGAGAGCAAATAATAAAGAACAAAATGTTGGGAGAACAGAGAATACACAACTCACATTCTCATCACGTTCACAACAACACACGTACCCTCTCACCAACGAAACTCTTCACGCCGTCTGCCATGTCGTCCGCCATCTCAAAGCGCTGCTCAGCGTCCACATCCTCACACTGCAGCCTTCACCTTCCATCCTTCTTTTTTTCTGTTTCAGTTTTTCTTCTGGGCACAGTTTTACGTCGTGTCCGGGACCACCAGTGACGACGACTGCCAAGAGACGGGAGAGACGAATGATGAAGGACGAGGACGACGGACGAACTTCTTCAAGACGGACGAAACTGTGACGATAGGACGACTGGAGATGACATCGGAAACTGGGAGCGAAGGCCACGCAGGACGAATCCAGAAGTTGAGATTTACAAATTTCCATTACCGCTGCCACCAATGTTGTACCTCGCTTTTCTCTACCTGCTCCCAGTCCCGTGCCATCTCCACACTTGTACAAAGGGGACGACGATGACTACATTTATAAAGACTGTTTATTGACACGACGAAGAAACACAACTAGACAAGACGAACTCAAGACGAAGACATGATAAACTCAAGACGAAGACATCATGAACTCGAGACGAAGACACACTTTTCATACCACAGCAACATGCGCATGCACCAACATGACGTACACACGACGTACACAAAATAACGTACTACAACACGTGCGTGCGTGCGTGTGTGTGTGTGTGTGTGTGTGTGTGTGTGTGTGTGTGTGTGTGTGTGTGCATGTGTGTGTGTGTGCGTGCGTGTGCGTGTTTCTATTTGAAGTGTACATACACATACCTGTTCTGGCTAGATTGACTCTTGTGTAATCAATGGTGCTAGTGAAGTTTTATAACAGGTCAATTCTGATTTAGCCATCCACACTAGTAGCAAGTGTTACCTTCACCGGGGGCAGGGGTAACTGCAGTTGGACCCCGGGACGGATACCCTTGTTGAATACGAAAAGGACGACGACATGTATTCTCCAGACATTACAATGGACATCGGGAACAGGGTTAGGTCAAACAACATTTATTGGGGAGACAAAGAGACTAGGACAAAGATGAACGAAACGACGACATTGTGGAAGAGAGAGACAAGAGAGAGAGATTAAGTGTGAACGGCAAGATAAAGGTTCTCGGTAGCTATGGCAATTATGGGCGCGCAAGTAGCTACCCAGGCCAACAGAACTAAAGGAGACAAAAAGGTGAGTACGAGAGTGCATGCTGGCCAGCTTGGGTAAGGTTGTAGAACGAACGGGAGGAGGTACCTAAGGGGTCGTCCGCAATTATCGAAAGTTTTTTCCAATCCGTAGTAGCTTCAAATTTTTCCTCACCCACCCACCCACCCCCCCAGTCCGTAATAAAATATTATTGATGGACACACAACCCGTCGTCGTCTTTGACAACTAACTGCCAATAGCAATTTATTGTTCTGTAATAATCAGAGTCACCAGCGGTTTTGAAAAAGGGCTGCTTCTTCACAGCCTTTCCAAACAACGTCGCCTATCTGGACATAGTCAATAACAGTCGTCAGCGCCAGCGCTAGACGGAAGGACTTCAAAGGAGTGCATGGAAGACGGTACTCTGGACGAAGGAGACAGTGAAACTCAAAAATAGAAAGTGTCGACTCGCCGTCGAATGCGCCGAACCCAGACCTAACGTTCGGAGCCCATGATATTCCCTGTGGGGACGAGCTGAAGCTTCTGGGAGTGAGTGACCTTCGACAGCAAACTCACCTTCAGACGCCACCTCCGCAATGTTTCTCTTCGTGCCGTAGCCCGACTAGGATTTCTGCGTCGAGCATCAAGTTTCCTTGGTCGTGAAGGACGCTTGACAACGTACAGAGGCTTCGTACGCCCTGTACTCGAATACGCACCATTGACATGGATGGGCGCAGCCAACTCTCACCTGCAAAGTCTCGACCGAGTACAGCGGAAGGCCCTTGCTATCATTGGTCCTGACGCCTTGCTGCAGAGCCTAGCTGCCTGCCGCCAAGTGTACGCTCTCACGTACATGTACAAGCTAATGTGCCTTCAAGACCATCCAGATCTCTCTGCGCTCGTGCCGCCTCGCCAGGAAGCTAGCCTCGTCCCGCGGACAAGGTCGCAGCTCCGTGTCCGCCACCAGCATCAGCTACAAGCAGTGCTCCTCCCTACGGCCCC